ACAAATTTAGTGTGGCCTCATCACACCTGCTATTTACCCTGACCCCCTCTTCTTTAACCGCTTAACCCTGCTCTGGCCTCCTATTTGTATCTCCCTCATGTTCTCGTAGATCCGTTTTTTATCTTTCTGGTTGACCTATTTTACTCGGTTCCAGTCCCAGTGTACGTTTTACTCCAGGCGCTATTTCTAAAGGCCCTAGAAGCCGCTTCACCGAGCTCTGGTTCCCATGCTTGCGGATATCAGGCATTGCCTTCAAGGATACGTCTTTGATTAAACCCGCGTTATTTGAGCAAACCGTTGACGAAGTGGGCTTAGTTAACTTTAATAACATCATACCTATTCATGTCAATGCGGACAAATTCAACTACCATTCTTTCACATAAAGTGAATACAACTCATTTATATGATATACTGATAGCCTTGAAAACCTTATCAACGAAAAATTATGTAATCCTATTGGAGTATCTTTCATGTCGTTTGAAGAGGCGAGTGGCAGGAATTAGTGGGTCGGCCTTACCGTAAGAGGAAGGGGGATTGCCTCGGAGCTGTGACGATTCATCCGAATAGGTTATCGACTCACTGCCCTACTACCTCGATGAATCATTGCTGAACTCTCGCCCGCCATGTAATGGACATCGTAGGAGCAAGACAAAATGCTTAACGATAGTTTACCAAAACAGGAAGACAATAAAGGTGGCTGGCCGCAATCCTAACTACTTGCTGTAGTCTCACTTGGTCCATTTGATGAGGCATCTCATGATTTAATTATATATCCTTTGATTTGTCTAAATATTTGCTGAAAAGTTAAGTGACTGCGGTTGCATTTGTAAGCAAGCAGCTGCATCCTTCCTTAAAACATTTATATTTTTGATCCTGCAATGTCCCCCTATGGGATTGCGTTACATTACTATTGAATTGCGTGAGATGTGAGTGTGAAACCAGGTTCGAGCCTAATCAAGCCTCTTATTGCCCAGTGATACTTCCCGTTCCCCCTCTATTTAATTCTATCCAATAGCAACAAGTAATTTCCATTTATTTTCCTACAATCATTCTTTCTATTCCAGGTTTTGTCTGTTTTTTTTTAATTTTAGATTCTCTAATTTTTCTCATACTGATATAGTCTCCATATAAAGTTAAGTGTCTGGAATTAGACCAGTCTATTTGGTGTTCTGCGTGAGTCACCCTTTCTATCTTAGTGTTTTTTTAAATTGTCGTTAAGCCCGATGTCCTGCTTCGACGATGTCCGTCACACGACGAACGAAAGCTCAGCATGGATTCGTCTGAGTCGTATGGCTGTGTGCCAAGGACCTATTCGCAAAAATCCACAGTTGCAACTCCGAGGCATTCCCCATTCAGCTTCCGTTGAGGCCAAATCACGAATCTCTTCCACACGCCTCTTCAAACGAAATGGAGGATTCTCTAACATCAATCTATTAAATAATTCTTCGAAACTCGGTTTTTCTACATACTTATGTGGCGTAGTGGGTAGCGTGTCGAGACTATACGCTGCACTGTCATGGTTAGAGTCCCGCTGGAGAGGGGAGTGCTGATGAAATCTAGGCAAGATAGAGGCGGCAGTCCACTCTTGTTGAAAACACCTTTTAGGGAAGTTCGATCTACTTATATCATTGTAGAAAATTCAACTACCAATCCCCTTATTACCTCAAACGAAGTAGGGTAAATACACCTCATATATATGATCTACTGGTAGTTTCAAAAATCTATTTATAAACGAAAATTTATGCGATCTTCTTTAACAATTATCAAAAGAGTAATAATTTGTATACGTTTTTTAGTAATAGTGAAATCACCTTGGCCTGATAGTGGTAGTTTAGCTGGGTAATTCCAGCCTTTCTGACTGAGCTGTAAGATATGATTTCTGCATACTTACTAGCCTGAGATTCTTACTAAAAATTAATTTCTCATATTTTTGCAGTGGGATTGTTGATGAAGCAAGCTTGTATTTGCTATTACAATCAACTTGAAAGTCACCTCTGTCATTCGGAATAATGCATTAGCTGAGTTTGATTCCCGTTAGAGGTGCCGATGGGACCCAGGCGAGATCGAAAATGTCCTCCACCCTGTATGCGACTACCTTTTGGAAGGCATGGCTGAGTGAACTTTAATGATATCATGAGACCTATTCATATCATTGTGGGCAAATTCAACTATCAGTCTTTTATCACCTTATGCAACCTAGGGTAAATAAGGCTCTTTTTCATGATCGACTGGTGGTTTATAAGCCTACCCAATATGAAAGAGGACTGTCTTGAAATTGTGACCCATGGATTATGCATAAAAATCCTCGGCTTATCGTCCTGCGGCCCTGGTAAATCTATGCTGCTCTTTCATAGGCCATGTGAGAGATCGTCAGCTCCAGAAACAATTCTTTATAAAACAATCACCTAAAGCATTAGATCAAAAGAGTTGGCTTGTTGATATTCTACTTAATTTTTATGCTTAATTTTAATATATTTATCAGGTATGTTTAGATGTAGTTGCAGGCGCGTTGTGTTTATACAACGTCTAACATGTATTTGAGGTGTTATAACTCAAACCAAACTCCAAGTTTTTTAAGCTTCCTTCCATCACTAACAAGAACATTCGAATTACCATCTTTTTTCAATTACATTTCTAATTCTTTAAAAGCCAATTAAAACAAGTCTCCGAATATTAGCTATCCAAATAAGGATTCTTATAAATTCGTTCGATCATTTGGTGGTTTTGTCCTACGAAAAACATTTACATACATTTTTGAACGATACCTCAGAATCTCTATAATTCTCCGCACTTTTTACGCTCAGGCTAGTGGTGAACAGGACGATGGTGAATACGATCTGTCTTGGCCAGGCGTACTGACTCGTTCCTGGATCTACCGGTCCTTACGCATGAAGCAGCGTGGCAATTGGTTGTTTCAGGGACATTCTGGAGGCAGTTCGAGTTCCATCTCTAAGTCCAGTATTTCTAATTCACACTACGCTAGCCTCAGATGCTCGCTTCCGAAATTATCATCGGGCTCACTATGCCGTACATGTAAGTCTGCACAAGTTATTAGACTACCTTTTATTTAGCGTTGAGTTGCAAGATAAAGCGACTAGCAGGCTTAATCTCAGTCTACAGTTTACGTTAGAATAGTGTCAATCATTTTGGTATCTGCCATATGACAGACAACACTTCAGCACGGATTCTCGTAAGCTTGTTAAGATTAATTCACTAATGTTGTCTAACCAAACTCCAAGGAGAATCCACTGTCGTTTTATATATGATTGGCCTATGCGTCTCTTCAACTTGCGCTTTTGCACGATTTGAAAATTAACCCTACATTGTTTCATCAGGAGTATATTCGAAACCCAACATCTCTTTATATATCCGTTACAGATAGCAATTGCTCCTTTAGTGATTCATTGACTTGCGTTGGCGTGTTGCCGTATGCTCGCCAGTCCAATTCAAGCATAAACTTAGACCCGAAGGCGTCCTTAAAATCTCCCAGTCTTGCCGCTTCCCTAGCCTTGGCTTGTTACTCTCGATCTCTTCAACTCCTGGTGCTGGCCAGGCAAGCAGCCAACTTGCCTTCTGTCGATAGCACTCTAACAGGAAAAGAAGATCAGGTAAGCTTATTTTTATGTCTAAATGTAGTCATCCATTTTTTCTTCGTATATTTACTGAATGTGTTCATCATAGTTCTTGGGCTTCTCTTGATAAGCTTTTCTGACTTAGTTTAATTGAGGATATGAATACCAAGATATTGTGGCCTCTGGTATGGTCGCAGTCTCTTTTCGATTTATAGAAGTGGGTTGACCTCGTCGCAACTTGGTCTTGTTGTCGGGCTGACTTAGTAGAACCCACCTAGTCCGAACTCGTCTGGCATAGTTGTCATGATTCCCAGAAAAACTCACTGATGATGCCGGCGAAACGTTTGAGAATGTACCAAGTCCACTGTCTGATGTTGGGAATCAT